AGGGAGGGAGGGAAGGAGGGAGAGAAGGAGGGAGGGAAGGAAGGAGGGAGGGAGGGAAGGAGGGAGGGAGAGAGAGGGAAGGAGGGAGAGAAAGAGGGAGGGAGGGAGCAGGGGAGGGAGGGAGTAGACAAGATAGGTCAAGGGTACTTGCCACCAAGTCTAACCACTGGAGTTCAAGCCCCAGGACCCATGTGGTGGAAGGAAAGAAGTGACTCCTGAAAGTTGTCCTCTGATCTCCATATGGGTGCTTTGGCATATACATAGACAGTCATAAAAACTAAATTAAAATGTAATAAAAATTGTTTTTAAAATAAATCGGGTTTTTTTTTCCCCTATGAAATCCAGTGGCTTAAGTTTTCTTAGAATTATTTACTGGATTCGAACTAAGTCCTTTCTCACAGGTGGCCAGCCGTGAATTGAAAATACCCATGTCTTACCTGCACATCTGCGAAACAAGCACAGCAACAGTGCCCAATACAATCGCTACAGCCGCGTCCGTTGGAGCAGATGTCAACGGCAGAGCCGTGCAGGTGACTGCTCCCATCTCTGTCCCTGTGAACTTGACCACGCCTCTGGTTTCTTATCTGCACACAGGCACTGTGGTTGGCTTCAGGGAACTGACCCATACTGAATGAGTTATTTTTCTATTCCTGTGCAAAACGGTGACCAGGGTAACTTATAGAAAGAAGGGTTTGTTTGGGGCTTATGATCCCAAAGGGATAAGAGTCCATCACCATCACGGTGAGGACACATGGCAGGAGGCAGGCACGGCAAAGCGAGAAGCAGCAGAGTGTTCACATCCTGGACCACAGGCAGGAAGCAGACAACAGACTGGAAATGGCAGAAGTCTTTGAACTCACAAAGCCCACCCCAATCCCCTGTGGCACTCTTCCTAAGCCTCCCCAAACAGCACCAACTGGGGCCAAGTACTCAGAGACTCTGGGAGATATTTATTATTCAAACCACCACAGTTACTAAATAAAAGGCTAGACAACCAATATATTGGGAGCATATATGAATTAGAGCAAGGTAATACATAGACCCAGAATATAATGGTTCAGACACAAAAGTCTCTTTCATGCTCATACCTGAGTCCAGAGGGAGTCTTCTGTCAGTCAGGCATCCAGAGTGATAGTGGCTCCATTAGGGTGTGGCCTTCAGTGTGGCTCTGAGCTTCATCATTTCAACTGCATGAAGTCATGCATGAGGAAGGCTCCAGGTTAGACCTGGAAGTGATGCAAGTTGCTTGTACTCACAGCCCCTTAGGAAGAGGTAGTCTCTGGTTCTATCTACATACTCTACAGACAAGGAAAGTTGGTGAACACAGAAGACAGGGAAGGTGTATGCCCAGCTCCTGTGAAGAAGGGAGACATCATTTGGGTGAACAGCAATTCTATTCCTGGGAGACATCGAAGAATCTCTAAGACCCAACAGTGTAGAAACACACTTGTTTCCCTGGCCTGGCGAGTTCCTACAGGCTGACTAACTGAGCCCAGCCCAGTGCAGCAGACATGCTAATTACAGAGTGATCACTAGTGCCCCCACCAGAACACCCAGAGCCACCTTCTCTTGGAACTGTTTTAATTAGCATGCAAAGTAATGGGTTTCTTATTAATTTAACTGATTTGGGAGTACTGATCTTTTAGTTTGATTTGTTATTTTGTATTATTTTAGTCTGTTACTATTTTTTTTATGTTTATAGATGTTTTGTCAGCATGTATGTCAGTGACCCACATGCATGCTTGGTGCCTGCTGGAAGCCAGGGTAGGGTGCTAGATCTTCTGGAACCAGAGCTACAGAGCTGCCATGTGGGTGCCAGGAACTGAACTCAGGACCTCTGGAAGACTAGCCGGTGATTTTAACTGCCAAACCGTTTCTCCAGCACCGGGACATTTTTGAGACAGCATCTCACTATATAGTTCAGGATGCCTTGCAACACGTTTTCTATACCCAACTAACCTCAGACTCATGACAGTCACCTATAGAATCACAGGTGTGCACTGCCACACCTACATGTATGTTCTTTTGAATTAGCAGTCACTGAATTTGTCATGTTTCGTCTATGACAAACACTTTTTCTATTGGGGCATCATGGGAATGCATATTCCTGCAGACCACTACAACTGCCACAAGAACTGCCTTCAAACCAGTCTTATCTATGTGAGAACACTTCTGGGGGTAGGGGTGGGGCACAAAACTAGTGGGTTCTTCTCAGAACAAATGTTTTAAAAAGCTGAAATCCATGAACTTATATCTGGAGTAGTCTCTGACACAAGAGGTAGGCAGGCCAGGCATTGTAGAGTTGCCAGTTTAGCTAAATTAGAGCATCTAGTTTTAGATCAGAAACTGTGGGTTTATAGTTCTGATTTTGTTTATTTGTTTTGAATTCATTTGTTAGGACTGTCCTGGAACTCACTCTGTAGACAAGGCTGGTCTCGAACTCAAGAGATCCACCTACCTCTGCCTCCTGAGTGCTGGGATTAAAGGCGTGGCTACCACTGCCCGGTTTAGTTCTGTTTATTTAAGATTTACTTTCTGTTTTATGTGTATGGAGTTTTTATGCCTGCCTATATGTCTTAAAATCAACTTTCTTCTTTTCTCACTTCACACCTAAAACCAAGGCCTTTACATAGTGACTTCATGAGAGACAGATGGACAGATGGACGGATCGGAGAGTTGAATGTTTTAGACCCAAAAGAACAGTGGCCTGTCATTGTAACAAGCACAAATTTGAATGAAAATACAATGTTTATTCTATTTATTTTAATAGCTGGAAAGCACAAAGTAAAGTTCAAAGCTGTAGTTTAAGAAAAGAGCGAAGTAGGGCCTGGCTCTTCAGTGCAGGAGGATCTGAGAGTAGAGAGTTGGGCCATTTTCATAGGAAGTGAAGCGTGATGGGGAGAACAAGCCCCATGGTCGATGCTGACCTCAAGGGCCCCGCAGTGTGCTGTCTTTTGTTCCCAGAATATAAAGAGCAGGGGAGCACTTGCTAACCTGTGGTCATCCAAGATCCTTTGCCACAAGTCCTAACCACAAGGCTTTCTTGTTTATTTCTTCTAGAATGCCTGTCAGATCCTTCTCAAACGTCTTGAGCCTGTCATTAAGAAAAACCCAGAAGGGACATGGAGAGACTGGGTAGGTGCCCCTCTTTGTGTCTGTGTGTGAGAGCATCTCAGGTGCACAGCAGTGAGCAGCCACCCACAGAAGACAGTTCCTCTAAGTCTCCATCCACAGCTTTGGAAAGTTCTCTGAGCTGGGTCTCTGTTAGGGTTGAGAGGGTTACTTCAGGATGTGTTCCAGGTCTGTGTGGAGAGCACACACAGGGAAGGACAGTCACTGCGAAGAGGAAGGGTGTGTGTGGAACATCCAGAAGCCTCCCAGTCAGCTGATGGAGGAAAGACCAGGGAAGAGCCACACAGACACTGATGCTCTGAGTGGGAAGAGAACTGAAGACATCTCAAAGAAAATGACCTCACAGATCCTATACTTTTTCATTAAATTATTATCACACACTTACACACTCATACGCACTCACATGCACTCTTCTTTTCTTTCTTTCCTTTTTTTTTTTTTTTTTTTTGAGACTGTCTCTCTCTGCATAGCCCTGGCTGTTCTGTAACTCACTCTGTAGACCAGGCTGACCTTGAACTCAGAGATCCTCTTACTTCTGCCTCCCAAGAGCTGGGATTAAAGGCATACACCACCACCACCCAGCACAATTACCTGTTTTTTAAATATTTAAATATTTTTATTTTGCATGTGTAAGCGTTACACCTGCTATGATAAGCAGTGTCAGAGCAAGGCTTCTGTAGTACCAGGGAGCAGAGATCAATTTATATTTATATATATATATATATATATATATATATATATATATCGATCATTTCCACCTTACAAGTGGTATATCTATTTAATCTCTCTTAAATATGCCTATTCCACAGATAGAAGCAGCGTTTGAACAAAGAATAAGTCTTTCAGCCACTGGATACTTCAGGTAAAACTCAAAAAATATCCTGGCTTAGGTAAGAAAATATGAGGTAATCCGGTTTTTTGGGCCTCAGTCCTCATTGATAAATAAGATTGTGTTATATAATTATGGAAGTCTATTCTAGGCCCAAAATTGTGTAAATCCACATAAGCCTCTGAGAGCACACACAGGGAAGGACAGTCACTGGGAAGAGGAAGGGTGTGTGCGGAGCATCCAGAAGCTCAGCTGATGGAGGAAAGACGAGGGAAGAGCCTCACAGACACTGATGTTCTGAGTGGGAAGTATAGTTAAAAAAATGTTAAACCAGTAACAACTCAATCAGGATTAAAGACACTCAATTCACGTAAGCCTCTGAGTGGTATAGTTAAGGAAATGTTAAACAATTAACAACTCAAACAGGATTAAAGACACGCTAGTTTATCTGCTATTATTTACATGTATTTGTTTGTTTATTCTGAGGCTGGGGATTGAACCTAGGACCTTGCACATGGTAGGCAAGCACTCTGCCACTGACCTACACCTTCAGCCCTTACTGCTCTTTATTGTAAGGAACAGATATCATCACCAGAACCAACTTGCTATTCAACCTTACCAATCTCCCTTCCTTTATTATAAAACCTTTCTCCTTTGAAGCAGGTTTTGGGGGATGGGGTAAAAATCATTTGTCTTCATATATGTACTGTTTATTGATGGGGGCACTCCAATAAATTCATGTTCATTAAATACAGAAAGCAAAGAAAGGTGACTATCACATTCAAGAAGGATATGGCACTACTGTTACAGTTTAGCCAATAAACTGCCAGACTACACTGGCGTGCACAGAGGGAGATGCTCTTCCTCTTCAGCACAGGGACACGTAACCACTGAGGTGAACACCAGGGAACAGCTTGAATGAGCTTTTAAAGAAAAAAGAGTTGAAATGAGCATCAGGTGGCCGAAATGCTATTGTAAAATTATGGTAAAAATTATGGTATTGTAAAATTGTTAAATGCACAGATGTTGTGTTTTCTGTGTCCTCTCCCCCTGCCACCCATCTAAAGGACTTTATTCCCTCAGGGGCTACAAGGCCTTCATGGACTGGGAGAAGGGAGAAGGAGACCCATTCCCATACTATGTCTATGGAGCTGCATGTTCTGAGGTTGAAATCGACTGCCTGACAGGTGCTCACAAGGTAGGTCAACACTGCCCTGGGTAAGTTAGATCAGCAACCCAACTAGCACTGTGCAGAAAGTGGCCCAGCGTCATTACATAATACACAAAAGAGAAGATAATTCTTCCCATTCCAAGGAGAGTTCAAAAGATCCAGTCTTCTCTTGGAATTGTCACATAAAATTATAATAATATTGTAGACAAAAGGGAATGGCTGTGACTGACTGAACGTAATTAATGTGTTAAAAGTTGTTATTTCATGTCAGACAACAAAGTCACTTCCCAAAGTTTTACCCAGAATCAGATTTTATTCCTCAGGGAGAAATAGGGTTGTCCGGGTGAGATCATTTAGCTCAGCTGATGTGCATCCATTGTCATTATTCCCAGGGCAGTATGGATGACCAAAGGGCTAGCCTGGGCTGGGGTAGGGTCCGGGAAGAATGTTGTACCTGCTATTGATCATCAAGAAGTCACCTAGTGAAGACAGGGAGCATATCCAGGCCAAGTCAGCAGCTTGTACCATAAATGATAAACCTGTGGGTTATACTCCAGCTACCAATCTGGAGACAACAACAACAGAAATATCAAATAGAATAAAATATAACCAAAGTATAGTAAGTTGTTTTGCTAGGAAAATTATAAATGGCCACAACATATCAAAATACTTCTATTTGCTTATCGTTGCTTAACTTCTCTTCCACATCAATATTATTTTTAAAAAAGTATTTTTTGAAACAGGGTCTCGGGTAGCCCGAGCTGCCCTTGAACTTACTATGTAGTCAAAGATAACCTTGAACTTCTGATCTTCCTGCTTCCATTTCTCAAATGCCTGGCTTGCAAGCATGTGTAGCCATGTCCAGTGTGTGCTGGTGCTGGCAATCACACCCACAGCCTTCTGTATGCTATGCATGCACTCTACCAACCAAGCCACGCCCACAGCCCATTAATAGGATTGTTTAAAGACACAGTGAATGAAGACTGTCTGGAGAGAAAAGCCCTCCTGTTTAATTCAGGTTTCTCTTTAGGATACATTAATATATGTCAACACAGTTTTTACATGTATTTTCCCTGAGAGTGGGACATGCCATATGGCACATGTGAAGGTCAGAAGACAACTTGTGAGAGAAGATTCACTCCTTCCACCTCATGGGCCCCAGGGATCAAACTCAGGTTGTCAGGCCTGGCAGCAAACACCTTTAACTTCTGAGGCATCTTGTCTCCCTTTGTGGCTCCATTTTTATTTGAGGTCATTTTCAAGAGGAAAACTCAGGTGATCAGACTGTTCCTGTCTTGTTTTAAACTCTGTGTTCTGGTGTTTTTCATTCTGAGACACACAGGTGATGATATTTGTGCAGCAGCCCTGGGGATGTCAACCTGGGGCCTGCCTTGGGCTCCCCTCAAGGACCACAGGCCAGTGCCCCTGCTTTCCCGTGGCTCTGTCTTAATTGGATGCTGGTTTTGGTGATCAGCTATTCATAAGACCCTCCACATTGACAGGTGTATTGCCAATTTTAGCAAATAAAAACAGGCTGGCTAATTAAACTTGATTTTTAAGTAAACAACAAATACGTTTGCAGCATAAATATGTCCCACACAAGTCTTGGGACTTACTTATTTTATCTGTCAATTCTATCTGAGGGCTTTAAAGTAAATCCTTAAAGAAACAAACACAGGAATCTTTCAGAATACATGGTGTTAAAATCTGGTCTTTTCTGTGCCTTCCAGTTTATATGTATAAGTAAAGGTTCAAAACTTTCAGTATTAATGTTGATCCCTGAAAACAGTTTACTCTATTCAGAGACACTAAATGGCTGGCCCACTATGGCCAGTTCTGTGAAGCACTGTTGTCTGGGGATGCCCAGCTGGTAAGCAAAGGTTTCTACCTACTGTGTCACCGTCTCTTTCCCTGGTGCAATACACAGCACAAACCATGCCAAATGCCAAGGTGAATGTACCGTAGGGAGGGCTGAGGTGACTCCAGTCCCTACCCAGGCTGAGAAGGAAGGCTGATTCTAGGGCCTGAGAGACCAGGATTTGAGTCAGAAGAGAATCGCCAACTAAGACATGGTGGGAAACACCTGTAATCCCAGCATTTGAGCTACTGAGGCTGGAAGACCACTAGTTCAAAGCCAGTCTGCGCTACACAGCAAGACTCCATTTCAAAAGTTACAGAGAGAAGGGCTGGGTATACAGACCAGTTGATAGACTATTTTCCTATCATGGGCTGCATACTGATCCCCAGAACTGCATAAAACCAAGTGTGGTGTTCTGTGACTGTAATCCCAGCCTATTAAAGGTGCAAGGCAGAGGATTTGAAAAGGCCATTTACAGCTAGGCTCTGGGCCAGCCTGAGTTACATGAGAACCTGTTGGAAGGAAGCAAGGAAAAAAGGAAAGGGGAGAAGGAAGAGAGGAGAGAGAGAGGGATGAAGGGATTTCCAATCCAAAGACTAGAAAGGAAGAGTACTGTTGTTTAATCTAAACAGAAAAAGACATTACCAGAATAAATACTGATGAATGGTTGACAAAGAAAGTCCAGAGGTATTCCTGAGATAGCCCTGAGGTATTCCTGAGATAACCCTGAGGTATTCCTGAAATAACCCAGAGACACTTAGAAGCTTTCTGAAGCTCCCAGTAACCAACACACACACACACACACACACACACACACACACACAGAAGGGCTGGATCATTTCACTGTTTCTCAGAGAAGGAAGCAGACCCACAAAGTCTGAGGATCAGAGTTGGCCTCAACACTTACCCCTCACCCCTTCTAAAATCTTGCAAGCCCCAAAACTTATACGTGTCCGGGATGATTCTCTCAGTAAAACGACAATAAGACCACCTGCATCAAGCCCTTGTGACATGCTCATGAATCCACTAGAGACATGAAGCCTGGCTGAGAATCAGTAAACAGGCAGGCTCAATTATTTACCAGGTGACTTACTCACACTTGCCAGCATGCCCTGGACTTTGGAATAACTTAGCAGGAGTCAAAACAATACATGCTGAAGATCTTCCAGGTCTTTGCCAGGCCTGGCACTCCATGGGAAATTTGTCAGATATCATCCCAGCTCTAAAACTGATAAGATTTGGGGCAGTGGTTCTGGGATAGCAGGAAACTCTTTGTAATTCATTTCTTCATTGAGGGGATTGAAGGGGAGGGAACATGGACACCCCAGTACACATGTGGAGGTTAGACAACTTCTGTAACTCAGGTCTAACATATGGGCTCAGGGTTTGAACTCAAGGTCACCAGCTGTGGCAGCAATTGCTTTTGTTCTGAGGTAACCTGAAAATAAATATATTTTATTTATTTATTTTATTTATTTTTATTTTTATTATTATTATCTTTTTGTTTTGTTTTGTTTTTTCGAGGCAGGGTTTCTCTGTGTAGCCCTGGCTGTCCTGGAATTCACTTGGTAGACCAGGCTGGCCTCGAACTCAGAAATCCACCTGCCTCTACCTCCCAAGTGCTGGGATCAAAGGCGTGCACCACCACCGCCCACTCAAAAAAAATATGGAATGCTTCACGAATTTGCGTGTCATCCTTGCGCAGGGGCCATGCTAATCTTCTCTGTATCGTTCCAATTTTAGTATATGTGCTGCCGAAGCAAGCACTTATTTATTTATTTGTGTGTGTGTGTGTGTGTGTGTGTGTGTGTGTGTGTGTGTGTTACTGAGGATCAAGCCTACAGCCTTGTGCATACTAGACAGGCACTCTAACACTGAGCTATATCTTCTATACCTTAAAATTGTATTTTATTTCAAGTTTTTATAAAGAAGTAACTTTTTATCTGTCTCAGAAAATCAGAACCGATATCGTCATGGATGCATGTTGCAGCCTGAATCCGGCCATTGATGTTGGGCAGGTAGGTGCTGACCCAACTGAGCGGAAACCCCTTCCTAAGTGTGGTTGTAGGGTAATTAAGGACCTTCTCACAAGGATATGTTGCCATAAGGCTTAAAATTGTCCCCCTTCAGATTGAAGGTGCATTTATTCAAGGAATGGGTCTTTACACCACTGAGGAGCTACACTACTCTCCAGAGGGCGTCCTGTACTCTCGGAGCCTAGACAAGTACAAAATCCCAACTGTCACTGATGTCCCGGAGCAGTTTAATGTGTCCTTGCTGCCATCATCTCAGACACCTCTCACCATCTACTCATCAAAGGTAAGCACATAAACCAGCCAGTCCACACTGCAGCAGCCCAGGGAGCACAGCCAGAGAAAGCCACCAGGCAAAACGAAAACTGATGCTTATGACTATCTGGACCAGGCCCCTTGGAGACCACCCACCTAGTCTGGGAAAGACAAATCCCTCCTGGGAGCAATCCTGGATCCTGGTTTCATTAATACCTTCTCTCCCTGAAAATTATAGAAAAGCTTAGCCTTCTTGAAAGAGTAACACTTTTATTTTAAAACTTTGTCTTTTTTTTTTTTTTTTTTTTTGGTTTTTGCTTTTGTGGGGAAATGGGTTTTTTGGGGTTTTTTTGAAACAGTTTTTCTCTGTGTAGCCCTGGCTGTCTTAGAACTTGCTCTGTAGACCAGGCTGGCCTTGAACTCATAGAGATCCACCACTAGCCTCTGCCTCCAAGTGCTGGGATTAAGGCTTGCACCATAACTGCCCAGCTGTCTATTTCTTTTTAATTTTTTGAGATGGATCTTACAGAGACCAGAATGACTTCAATTCAAACTCCTAATCCTTCAGCCTCCACCTCCCAAGGGCTGGGATGACAAGTGTGTGCCACCATGCCCAGCAGGTCTGGAGGAATGGCCCCACTCCATCAGTAAATCACTTGCCTTGAAAGCTCCAGAGTATCAACCCAATCCCTAGAACCCACATAAAAATCCGGGTGTGGTATACTCTTGTAACCTCAGCACCGGGGAGGCAGAGACAGGAGTATCTCTGGAGCTCTCTGCTCAGTTGGTCTAGCCTAATAGGTGAGCTCAAGGCCAAGGAGAGACTCTACCTCAAAGGAGGCAGAGAGTGTTTCCAAGGATAGTAACTTGAGGATGTCCTCTGGCCACCATACACATGCACCCACACACATCACATCAAAGGGGTAGGTGGAGGAAAGAGGCACTATTGAGCTGGACGTGGTAGCTCAAACCAACAACCCCAGCAGAGGGTAAGCTACAACCTGCTGGTCTATCTAGAGTTCCAGAGCAGCACGAGCTAGCCATATCTTAAAAAAACAAACAAAACCAAAAGAATAAACGAGATTGAAGACATGATACCACTGAAACCATAGACATCAGTGGACTGAAACCTGGGTTCCTATCCCAACCCACCATCCTCCTTTGCTCATAGGTAAATTGCACATCTCTGAGAGACTTGGGATCCTCAGTCAAAAACAGAAATGAATCTAGAATAGCTGGTCCCAACTATGGTGAGAATGTCTGACCCCCAACCAAGACAGACAGACAGGCAGGCAGGCAGGCAGGCAGGCAAGCAGTCTCACGTGTGGACACACACACAGACACACACACACACAGGAAACTGATAATATCTAGATGCATTTCTAGCTGAAAGAATTTAAAAGATTTTACAGCAATGCTCAGAGGCCAGGGGTGTGGCTAAATAGCTTTCAGTGTGCAAGACCGCTCCCACAATAAAGAATCATGTGACTTCAAATGTCAATAGTGTCAGGAAGTAAAGACACTAGCCAACCTTTAATAATGACTAAAGGAAAGGAACAGCAAATTAAAATAAAGGTCAACTTTGCTTGCCTTGCTTTATGCAGATCATGGCAAACGTTAGAAGGAAACCTCACCAAGGAGTGAGGTATAAAGTCTTCCTTAAAAATCTTCGGGAGCCGGGCAGTGGTGGCGCATCCCTTTAATCCCAGAACTTGGGAGGCAGAGGCAGGTGGATTTCTGAGTTCGAGGCCAGCCTGGTTTACAGAGTGAGTTCCAGGACAGCCAGGGCTACACAGAGAAACCCTGTCTCGAAAAGCCAAAAGCAAAAAAACAAACAAACAAAAAAACAAAAAAAAAGTGTTTAGAAAAAAAATCTTCAGGGAAACTTCTAGCTAAGAGTTGTTACATCTCAAACCCTGGACAAATGACTAACATTTAACATGCCAAAGTAGACCTGGCTGCCAGGTTCTCCCAGCATCCCTCAGTCCCTACCTGTTAAAAGATATGGCTGATATACTATACCCCTTAACTTAAGCTTCTCCAGCCCAAGAGCTGGGCTGCCCTTCCCCTGGCTGCCCTTTCTGTATAATACAGTCATTTGGTTACCAGCCCCTTTTGGTCTACCCTCTAACCCCATGGCCTTTTGGTCTCCTGGCTCTCCCTCTCCCTTCTCACATGGCCTGGTCATGTTCACTCTGGACTTTCCCAGATGTCCCTGCCTCTTCCTTTGCTCCTCTTCTTTCTCTACAATAAACCTTCTCCGAGGAACAGTCATCTCTCTCTCTCTCTCTCTCTCTCTCTCTCTCTCTCTCTCTTTCTTTCTTATTTTTTTCATTCAGGAATAAATTGATTTTCTTTTCTGAAGCAAGAAAAATATATCTATCTGCAGGAATTTCATCATTTCCAAACTGAAATCCCCTTCAGCCTAGGTATTGCCTCTGGACTTGGGTTGGTGAAGCCATCACAGATTCAAAGGGAGGGGCATCGATAGGACCTTCAGACTCTTGCTGGACTAGAAGCCATCTGTGGGGGGAAGGCCAGAGGCAGCCCAGAGCCTACAGAGAACCCAGGCAGGGCATCCAGCATGGTGGGCATACCAGTAATCCCAACACTCAATAGGTAGAGGTAGAAGGATCATGAACTCAAGACCAACATAGGCTACAAAGCAAAATCTCTCTGGAAAAGTCACAAGGACCAAGAAGGGCATGGGTGATGAGTGTGTGCGTATGGTCCCAGCACTCAGGAGGTAACAGTAGGAAGATGTTTGGAGATTCAAAGCCTGCCTGTGCTGACTCCATAGTGCATTTCACAGCCTGGGTTCCACAGTCTTAGAAAGAAAAGATGAAAACAAAGATTAGAGGTAAAGGTCCAAAAAAGAGTGCTTGCTTAGTGTGCACATGGCCCCTGGCTCAATTCCCACCACCACCCAAAACAAAACAAAAGCCACAAATATAGAAACTCTTCTGAAAAAGAGGAAAGATCTGGTTATTTTGGGTTTGTTCATGGAAAGTAACAATTAGCCAGAAGCAAAAAACAGCTACCTCCTCAGACAGACCGTGGAGGGGGTCTCTGTCTCTCCACAGTCCCCGTTTCTCCTCTCCTTGCTGTCCTTCACCTGCCCACATCTCACTCACATTCCCTGCCCATTGCCTACAGATGAAGGTCTGTCACTGCCTGAGCCTTCCCCTCCTACAGTACTGTACACATGAAGGTCTGTCACAGATAGAGCTTTCCCCTCCTACAGTACTGTACACATGAAAGTCTGTCACGGACAGAGCCTTCCCCTCCTACAGTACTGTACACATGAAGGTCTGTCACTGCCCGAGCCTTCCCCTCCTACAGTACTGTACACATGAAGGTCTGTCACTGCCCGAGCCTTCCCCTCCTACAGTACTGTACGCATGAAGGTCTGTCACGGACAGAGCCTTCCCCTCCTATAGTGCTGTACTGGTTAGTAACACAAGCCAGGGTCCTTGGGAAGAGGAACTTCAACTGAGGAAATGCTTCTATCAGACTGGCTGTAGGCAGGTTTGTGGGGCATTTTCTTGATTCAGGATTGATGTGGGAGGGCCACTGTGGTCAGTCCCACCCCTGGGCAAGTGGTCCTGGGTTCTATAAGAAAGCAGGCTGAGCAAGCCATGAAGGGCAAGTCAGCAAACCATGTTCCTCCACAGCCTCTGCCTTAGTTCCGCTTTGAGCTCCTGCCTTGACTT